CTCATCCCTTAAGGGGGTTGTACCACACCAGGGTTACGACGAGCTGTGATGATGGGCAGAAGGTTGTTTTCTAGCTCCATCCGCTGCCAGCCCAGGTGGAAGGAGGCGTTTTATTTACCCGTCTAGTCCCGTTCAGTGGGAAGGAAGATGACACGTGAAGGACAGGTTGGGGAAGAAAGCTGGGACAGGACTCGGGCGCATGGGGTGATGTCGGGGGATCGTTTCGTGATGGTAATGCTGTTCACCTGTACTTGCAGTTGCTGTTGCTATTGAAGATCCCAAAATAAAGGTCGATCTCACCAGCTACTTTGTGAAGAGGCCGCCCGGGGTCTTACACTGCACCACAAAATACACCGAGTTTGGGAAAGCAGCTGGAGCCGAGGAATACGCACAGCAAGACGTGAGTACTGGGGCTCTGACTCCTCCCCACCACCCCAGTCTCCCTGCCCCGTCCCAGCAGGGGATCCAGGAGGCCCTGGGTGGGCTGGGGACGCGGCTGTGCTGGGAGCAGAGAGGGTCGCTGTAGGGAAGTGTGGCCTGGGCAGTAGGAAAGTCATAGTTGTGGGGGAGATGGTGACTAGTTCCTGTTAGTTTCCAAAGAAAATACTCCTGCTCCCCTCAGGAGCATCCAGCATCGTCTCCAGTAGCTCGACTGGGGTGACGATGAATTCAAGGTGCTTACGCTGCCGGCTCCGTTATTTCAAATCGGATAAGCCCAAGGTAAACGTTGGGATTTGTGAAGGCAAAAGACGTAACCAGCTCCGTGTTCACGGGGCAGGCTCTTCAGGCCAGGATCTCCCAGTTGCGCACAGTATCTCAGACCCGTCAAAGCAAGAGCCGCCGCGAGGGGCCAAGACCCCGAGCTTGCGGACGGTGAAACCAGCCCCCGCCCGCGGTCAGCTAAAGCTCTGTGCTGGCCTTGTCTCCCTCTCCCAGGCTGTGAAGGCTTCCTACGGCAAAGGCTTCACCTTGTCCATCTCTGCCCTGTTCGTCACAACAAAAACTGTCGGCGCTCGCGTGGAGCTGAGCGAGCAGCAGCTGCTAAAAAAAAAAAGCCCCCGCCCACCGACAACCTGCCGAAAGGCAGCCGGGCTCACATCCCCCTCGGCTGCGCCACCGGCATCGAAGCAGTCCAGACTGGGCTGGACCTGCTGGAGTTCGTGAAGCTGGAAAAGGCGGGGAACAAAGGGGATGAAGTGGGGGAGATTGGAGGAGGGAAGCTGCTGTATTTTGATAACGGTATGTGGATGCTCATCCTTTCTAAAAAGATCGATGTGAAGGCAATATTCTCGGGTTATTATGGAAAAGGAAAACTGGTGCCAACGCAGAGCACCAACAAACGGGGCTCTGCTTTCAGCTCCTGCACCATCATCTAGAGCACGGGCAGGGCAGCTCCTTGGTTTGGTTTTAAAGGCAAGTAACTCCTGTAACCTTTAAAAGTGTAAAGAGAAATAATTCTACCTTTACTAAAGTAAGCCCTTTTGCCAGCCCCAGCGTGAAGCCTCTCTGGGGAGAGTTTATGGCCTCAGAACAAGGAAGAAAACAAGCAACTCTTGACTGACAAATGAGAACTGTCATGTAACTGATGTCGATAACTGAAGTGCTGCCGAGTGCGTTTTAATGGAAGAGTTTTGGAGAGAACTGGCCGTGGTCGTCTGCTTGTTTTCTTCCTCAGAGGAAGATCAACTATGGCCTTTTATAACTTCCCCACGAACCACAATCGTTAGATCTTTACTCGTCAGCAGAAGAGCAGTGGCAGACCAAAGCCTGCACAGAACTGGGCTGAAGCCAAGTGAAGCGAACTGTGCAATGTCTCTCCCCTTCGCCCCCACCCGAGGGACTGGCCTCGGTCGTTCTGGTAGCTGAAC